AACCGGCCCGAACCGGCCCGAACCGGACACTTCCTGCTCAAGTGGCACCAGCAATATAACAGAGAACCACACTATCATGCTGCAACCTGGAGTGCACTGTTCTTTGCAATCCGTGTTGAGCGTCGGCGAGGCATCCAAGTCATCGATGAGCACTGGCCCCTCACAGAGCATGCACCTCCATGGGCGCACAGGTTCGTAGATGACGTAGAAGGTATTCGGCAACTGGTGGAGAACACTCGGAACGAATCCAGGACTGGAATCGTCGCCTCCTCCTGGTGTTCGATGACTCGGATCTGTCAGACTGGATCGGTCGCCTGGTCTTGACGCAACCGAGAGCTACCTCCTGGACTGTGAGCATGCCCCCTCCTGGATACCAGGCCCAAGGACATCATGCTGGACACAAAATATAGAATGGTAAGCCCCCAGCATGATGATGAGGATGAGGATGAGGATGAGGATGAGGATGAGGATGATGATGATGGTGATGATGATGATGATGATGATGATGATGATGTTGATGACGACGATGGCGATGACGACGACGACGACGACGACGACGACGAGAACGACGACGATGGTAATGATGGTGATTATAGTGACGCCGATGATGATGATGATGATGATGATGATGATGATGATGATGATGATGATGATGATGATGATGATGATGATGATAATGAGAATGCTCATGATGATGATGCGTACGCAAGCTGCGATATGGTACGTCACTGAAAATTCGCCACCCAGCGTCAGCTTACAAGTCATCTTCGACAACAGCACGGGCTTCAAAGTATCCTAGTGATGGCTGCGACAGATAACCGAAGTTTGTGTGCGGGCAGGTGCTTGAATCCAGAAACTCAGCGTACAAGCACGTGGTGGACTCTTTCCGGACTGGAATATGTGTCAAAGTGCGTTCCACGACAATTCGGGAAGCTGGTAATGAGACCACTACCACCTACACATGTCAGCTCTGTAATCAGTCTGGGCTCAAGCGAGCTGGTCTACATCAGCATTACCGCGAGCACTTCACAACCCTGCCCACCGTACATCTTCACGATGCCAGGCGAAGGGGCAGCGGCAGCGGCACTGCCAGAGGACCAGGCTCAGGCTCAGCCGAACGAGTGGACGGTCAAGATGCCAGCATGGGGTCTGACGGGCAAGAGGGCAGCTGGCTCTCGCGGCTCAGTGGTTCCAGAAAAAAACGAGGAGGACCCCAAGAAGGCCGAGCTCACTGACCTCAAAACCCAAACCGAGCAGGCAATGAACAACAAGAACATCGGGCCGCTGAAAGCGCTGGTGGTAGTTCTCACACGGCTGGTCGGAGGCTGGGGGTGTGAACGGAAGTTACCCCAACCGGGAAATCGGTTTCGGTTTCGGTTCGTGCCGTGCGTGCGGGCGAGGCGAAGCTGCGCGAATCCCTGCACATGTAGAGGCCACATGGAACCCGAAAGGTCGCCCGCCTCCCCCACGCTGGGCGCGGCTCCCGATGGTTGTCCAGCAGGTTGTCCAGATGGTTGACCCGATGGTTGTCCCGATGGTTGTCCCGATGGTTGTCCCGATGGCTGTCCCGATGGTTGTCCCGATGGTTATCCCGATGGTTGTCCCGATGGTTATCCCGATGGTTGTCCCGATGGTTGTCCCGATGGTTGCCCCCATGGTTGTCCCGATGATGTTGTTCCGATGGTGTTGTCCCGATGGTTGTCCCGATGGTTGTCCCGATGGGTGTCCCGATGGTTGTCCCGATGTTTGTCCCGATGGTTGTCCCTATGGTTGTCCCGATGGTTGCCCTGGTGGCTGTCCCGATGGTTGCCCTGGTGGCTGTCCCGATGGTGGTCCCGATTGGTTGTCCCGATGGTTGTCCCGATGGTTGTCCTGATGGTTGTCCCGATGATGTTGTTCCGATGGTGTTGTCCCGATGGTTGTCCCGATGGTTGTCCTGATGGTTGTCCCGATGGTTGTCCCGATGGGTGTCCAGATGGTTGACCCGATGGTTGTCCCGATTGGTTGTCCCGACGTTTATCCCAATGGTTGTCCCGATGGTTGTCCCGACGGTTGTCCCGATGGTTGTCCCGATGGTTGCTCCGATGGGTGTTCCGAGGGTTGTCCCGATGGCTGTCCCCATGGTTGTCCCGATGGTTGTCCCGACGGTTGTCCCGATGGTTGTCCCGATGGGCAGATGTGCGCGATAAGGACAGTTCAAGAAAAGCAAGGAACTCAGAGCCATTGCAAATCGACCGCCTCCCCCTTCCCCCCACGACCTCCTTATCACCCGTAGGGTGGTCCTATCGGTAATATCCAACCGCTGCGACGTGGCCGAACTCATTGTCGCCTGATTCAGCTGCTTTCTGTTCCCCGAAGCTCACGAGGTTGTGATCAAGATGGAGGAGGCGGGCCAGCAATACTCCATCAGCTGCAAGGAGGCAGGCAAGGACCACGAGCTCGGTCCACCATGGCCGCACATGTGGCTGGCCCTCCTCTCAGCGGTCCTCGCGCACTTCCCAAGACTCGCGAAAGCTCTCAGGCCGCGATGCAGGTGTACTCGGACGCCACCATTGCGGACAAGAAATGCAGTCTCCAGAGCCTCTGGGACCAAGTCCGCTACTGCCGCATCCGCCCAACATACCACGACAAGAAGACAGGGCAGCAACCGGCGAAGTTCAAACTCCAGATCATGCTCTCAGCGCAGTTGCAGACCACCCGAATCACCTGGGACGGGCAGCCAGTGGAAGGGTGCATTAGGCAATATGCGAGGCGCTTCACGCGATCGGGGGCAAGTGCAAGCCAGGCGGGCCACCCAAGGGCGGACTCGAGAGGGAGGCCGAGACGCTACTGAGACAAATTGGCATGCAGAAGGGCCCCAACGAGATGATCTCGGACGAATCCGATGAAGATCTGGACGAGCCGAGGTATCTACGTTGACTCAGATTGCGGGTTCAGGGAGAATGATCACTATGGCACGTGGTGGACAACTCGTGCATCAAGGGCTGATGGCACTCCAGGCACGCTCTACCCACCCAATCGTGCAGTACAGTACCAGCTCAGGCACGAGCCTTCAAGAGTCTTCTACCCCCCACTTTTGAGATCGCGCTTTCATGGCCCGATCTCGTCTCTCGCTCCTCAGCAGTGCGAGGCATCCGCCTCCGTGATATCAGCACCAATGCTGCAGCAGCCAGCGAGCGTGCCCATTCCCTTCTTGCCCCGATGGCACATCCAGGACATTCTGTGACAGAAGATGACAGCTGAGTTGTTTGCAGACGTACATGTCATCCTTGCGTTAGGTCGGGCATCCGCCGCCGCCCGACGCCACCCGCGGCGCGACGGGCTTTCCCTGCGCGGCCTCGGCGCGCGCGGCGCGGCCCCAGCGCGCGCCGCCGCGGCGCGGCGCGGGCGGCGCGGCCCGAGAGGCGCGCTACAGGAAGGCGACCGGCAAACCGCCGCAGCTGGGCAATACGGAGGGCAGCAGGCGCCGCCGCCGCCGCCCGACGCCACCCGCGGCGCGACGGGCGTAGCAGTGAGCATCTTCTCTTTTTGTGGCAGCGGGCCCAGAAGGAAGTCAGGGCAAGGATCGCGAGCGTGTCGTCTCTCATCTGATCCTCATCTCCCCTTGCTCCTTGTCCGGATCCTGGTCTCTCCTCCTCGTCGTTCTTTCCCTCTCCTCCTCGTCCTCCTCCTGATCCTCTGCTTGCTCCTGCTCCCCTCCCTCCTCCCCCTGCTCCTCTTCTTCCTCCTCCTCCTCCTCTTCCTCCTCCTCCTACTCCTCCTTCTCTTCCTCCTCCTCCACTTCCTCCTCCTCCTCCTCCTCATTCGACTCCTCCTCAAGCTCAACATCCTACTCACTATTCTCGGTGTTCTGAACGGCACCTGGGGGATGCTCGATTCAGCTAACTCTGGTTGCTGCGTCCTCCGAGGCAATGCGTTATCACCATCACCACCATCACCATAATCATGATATCCATCGCCATCATACCATCATCTCAGCATTATCATCAGAATCGTCATGAATCCGATCGTCCGCATAACCATAGTCATCTTCGTCGTCATCACCGTCATCGCCATCCTCATCTGAATCATCCACACCTTCACGGTAAACCCTACTCTTGTAGCTCCTCCATTCGCTCACCCCAATCTATACCATCAGCATCATCATCACCAACACCACCATCATCAACAACAACAGCCTCCTCATCAGCATCATCATCATCATCAGCATCAGCATCAGCATCAGCATCATCATCATCATCATCATCATCATCATCATCATCATCATCATCATCATCACAATCGCATCGTCGTCGTCGTGCTCATCATCATCGACACCGCCACCGCCATAACCACCGGTATCAGCACCACTACATACCACCGCCATCATCACCACCACCACCATCATCATCATCAGCAGCAGCGGCAGCATCAGCGTCAGCATCATCACCATCATCTTCATCAGCATCATCATCAGCATCATCATCAGCAGCATCAGCATCATCATCATCCCCAGTCGTCGCCATCGCCATAACTCAACATCATTACCATGCTCCTCATATCAATCGTCATCATCGTCATCGTCATCACTCAAAGTAACCGTCGTCGACATCGCTGCTACTCAAAATCATCCTGCGTCGCATCATTATGCCCCTCTCGTTTTGGAACGTTCGCCTCATCATCATCATCATCATCATCATCAGCAGCATCATCATCATCATCATCATCATCATCATCATCATCATCATCATCATCATCATCATCATCATCACAGCAGCAGCATCATCATCATGATGATGATGATTATCATCATCATCATCATCATCATCACCAGCATCAGCATCAGCATCATCATCCTCATCATCATCAGCAGCAGCATCAGCATCATCATCATCCTCCTCCTCCTCATCATCATCGTCATCATCATCATCATCATCATCATCATCATCATCATCATCATCATCATCATCATCATCATCATCATCATCATCATCATCACCATCCGCTCCGCCCCAGGCCACCACGAACAGATCGAAGCAGTTCCACGACGCCTCGCTCCCGCCGAAGAATCCCAAACCGCAGGCGAAGACCTCTGCGCGCTCGCGGTGAGCAGGGAAGGGGAAAGTGGGCAGGAGGGAGGAAGCGGGGGGAGGGAAGGGGTGGGAGGAGAAGGGAAGGGAGGCGGGCGCTCAGCGGGCCCTGGCAACGACGGGGCATTTTCTTGTTACCGTCTCCGTTGTTCCGTTTCTTCCGTTTCCGGCGCCGTTCCTGTGAACGTTTCCGGAGCCGTTGCTTCACCGTGTTCGTTTCCCATGGTGGGGCCTGATCCAGATCACCGCTTGCTTGCCGGATCCGAACCATGTTTCAAACTGGTTCCGCGTTCGAACGTCCTTCGGATCCCCAGACTGCCCGGGCCGTTTCGGTTAAAGTTTTCTTACCGTTTCGGTGAATCGTTTTGCTGTGGCTTTTATTGTCAAGAAACAGTTTCGCTGGAAACGGTAATAAAAGAAAAACTGCCCTGCCGTTCCCAGGGGCCACGAAGAGCGGGCGTATATCGCAGAACTGGCTCCAAGCTGAAAAGGGGAACGAGGTGGAGGGAGGATGGCAGCATCCTACCTTAGACTCTGATGCCACCAGTGTCGGGAGGAGGGGAGAAAGGATCAGGGAGGAGAGGAGAGGATGGTGGACGGAGGGAACGAGGAAGAGGAGGAGGAGGAGGAGAATGACGACGACAGGGAGGGCCAGGGTGGAGGGAGACATTGCGGAGCAGAGCTGGACAGCCTGCCAGGAGGGGGGACTCAAGGCGTGCAGCCGGAGAGCAGCGCACCTCCCTCCGCCCTTTTGGGCCCTCGCGCCGGAGACATGCAGCGGCACGGACGTCGCTGCAGAGACCCACACGGTGTGGCCCATGCAGTGCTGGCCTCGGTGGCCCCCCACGAGCGGCGAACATGTGCGTATGCCGAGCCCTCGCGGTCTGCCACCCAGGGCGCGCTCCCGCGGGTGCGCGGTCGCACGGATGCGCCCCGCACGGGGCATCCGCGAGAAGTCGCCCCGTCTCCGCGGGGTCGCGGCCCAGGGGCCCAGCCCGCGAGGCCGCGGACTCGGATGTGTCTCTCGCCCACGAGCCCATGCGGTGAGGGCAATGGATGAGGAACCATGGGATTAGGAGCCCAGTGTCTGGAAGCCGCTGGTACACCAATGGGGGGCTCGGCCACGGAAATCACCGCCACCCTCGTCAGTTGAGAGGTCATCCAGGGCCTGGATGACCCCTGGGCACATTCCTTAGCGAACGCCCCCACCATACCGAGGGGCTGCTCTGCGCTGTGCTGACATCCTGTGCCGATTCGGTGGCCCATACTGCGCTGCCAGTGCATGCCGAGGGGTTCTCAGCTTCGCAGGATTTGCGGGCCAGCGACGCCTCGACACCTGCTGGCCGGGGAAGGCGCGTCATTCGCCTTCTCTCGTGCAACCTCCTGGCACCTTTATCTGCGAGGGGGGGGAAGAGCTGCTCTCGGCGGCTCCCACGAGGCCGAGCCCACACACGGCTGGCGGCCCGATCGACCAAGAGAAGGTGATACGTGCGACCTGGGCAGACGAGCTCCAATACTGAACGCTGAGCTGCCGATCGGCAGACAGCAGGGAGGCAACGCTGAAAGCGCCACGCGTGGCCCTCCACCGTATCCAGTGACGCAGGAAGCCACTGCAGGAGGAGCAGCAGCAGCAGCAGCAGCAGCAGCAGCAAAAGGACGCTGTCGGGAACCGTCTCGGACTCAATGAGGAAGAAAGGAAAAAGAGGAGGAGGAGGAGGAGGAGGAGGAGGGAGAGGAGGAGCAGCAGCAGCAGCAGGAACAGCAACAAGAGCAGATGGAGGAGGTAGTCAAGGTGGAAGTGAAAGTGGAGGCGGAGAAGGAGAACAGGGAGGAGGAAGGCTCTCCAGAGACTTCCCGGAGCCACGTCGAGGTGGCCATGCCAGGGAAAGCCCGACCCCCGCCTGCCAGAGGTGAAAAAACGTGCAAGATGCTTGGTTGTCCTTTTCCCGCTTCCCCCCCCCCCGCGTGTCAAAACATCCTGCTTGACGGGGGGGGGGGGATCCCCCGACGAGCTCGCCAAGGGCCCCTCCTTGCCCTGCACACTCACAACAAAACTCTCCAGGACAATCCATGCCCCACAAATGGGGCTCAGATGGCCCCAAGATCCCGTCCTGGGGCTCTACTGGGAGCTCATTGGACAAGTTGGGAAGGCTTGGAGGCCGGTCGAAGGGGCCAAAATCATTTAAACACCTAGGGTCCCCCGAGGCCTCCAAGAGAGGGGGCCAAGAGGCCCCCAGGAGGCCCCCAGGAGGGGCCCAGTCTGGAGCAGAACCCGAGACCAGCAGCAGGCCGCCAAGCAGCTCGAACAGCAGGACCCCGGGGAGCCACCAAGCAGCCCGGAAGAGGCCATGGGGAGGCCTCGAGGCGGTCCCCGCGCGGCTTCCCGAGAGACCCGCGGGGCCTCTTGCCGATGGCCCAGGCCTGGAGGCGGGATGGGCGGCCAGCCAGGACCCTCCTGCCGTCGCACCCACGCCGTAAGACGTCGCTGCCGCTGCGGCTGGGCCAAGCTGGACGCGTGGCCGGCGCTGCGGCCGGACCGCAGACCTGCGGCCCGCGCCCAGGCGGCAGCTTCGCCCAGGCACCCCGAGCACCCACCAGAGCCGCACGTCACCGCGGTCCCCGCGGCCAGGGTGCCCCACAGCCCACCGGCAGCGTGACCGGCGTCGGTTCCGAGCGCGTTTGTCAGAGTGAGGGGGCCGAGAGATCAATCGCTGTCCCCGGGTGCGTGGCTGAAGTGGTGTTCCGCGGTGCGGATTGTTGCTGCCTTGGCGTTTGTTGTCGTCGTCCCCCTCGCGACCCGGCCCGCGACCCACCCGCGGTCCCCCGTAGACCCACCCGCGACCCACCAGCGACCCACCCGCGACCAACTCGCGACCCACCCGCGCCCCACCTGCGAACCACCTGCGACCCACCCGCGACCCATCCACGACCCACCCGCGACCCGCCCCCTCATTCTTATCTGCAACGGCGGGGTGCTACATGTTCAGACCATAGCAAGTTTACTTACTTGCACGGCATTCCCCCCCCCCTCCGCCGATTTTTCAAACAGCGCTGGGGCGAAAAGGCGTGCAAGTTGGTCCCGACTTACTTGAAGTCCAGATCTCATCTCGGGCCTCGCCACGCCCCCCCCCTCCCCCCTCCTCCATGCAAGCAAGTTGCAAGAGTCTACAGGAAAAAACGGCCTCTTGTGTGCCTGGCGTCAGGTCAGCGGGGGGGCCCAAACTGGGCGACCGCCGTGGACCTCCGTTTCGCCCTGGTGTGGAGCGCCGGCGGAGCAGCGCAAGCCTCTTGCACGAGAGGCGTACCTCTAGGTCGGGCCTGTCCCCGTACAGGGGGATTTTGTACGAAAAATAAAAAATGCTAGAAAAATGCCCCCAACTGGCAAAAAAATATTCACAAAATCGTCCCCAGACAATTTTTCAACTATTTCTGAATTTTCCTCCTGTACAGGCCCGACTTAAGCGTACCTCGAGATGACCTCAGGGGCAAACCCTCGCAGCATCTGGGATTTCGGCGGGGGGAAGGGGGAGACGCGGGGCCCAAGGAGGTCGAGGAAGCTCGAAAAGGGGCACCTGCTGAGAGGATGGCTTCCTGTTCGTGGAGGCGGCTGCGTCTAAGAAGAGGCGACAAACGAGTGCGCCAATCCGCGGCGGCGAGCGCGGGGGTCGACAATGTCGCGAGGTTTTTCGATGCAGGCCGCCCAGGGCCTTCAGGATCAGCTCCATGCTGAACACGGCACAGAAGAAGGCCTGGCCGTGCTGCCCTTCCCCTTTTTTCCCGCACATCCCGAAAGAAACTCACATCGTGGCAGCCACAGGCACGTCGAGACCGTGTGAAGAGCACCCTGCGGCGGGCGAGCCGCGATGACGCCACTCGGCATGAGGAAGGGAAGCACGACGAACGACGCTCAGTTGATTGAGCGGCGAAGCGGCGAGCGGCATCACCATGCTCTCAATGTGCCACCTCCCTGATCATTGCTCTCGCCCTCCTCCTCGTCCTTCCCCCCCTCCTCTTCCTCATCCTCATCCTCATCCTCCTCCTCCCAAACCTCTTACTTGTCCTCCTCCTGGCGATCCTCGTGGTCCCCCTCCTCGCCACAGGATGTGCATTCGCAGCTGCATTACGAGCTGCAGTACCAAATGTAGAGGGAGCTGTACTACCGGCAGTTGTCGGATTCGATTCGAAATAGAACCTGCAGGAACCTCTGTAGTAAGAACCGTGCTAAGACTTGCAGTAAGAGCTGTAGGAGAGCTGTACTACTGGCTGCAGTAAGAGCTGCGTTACGACCTGTTATAGGGGCTGTAATGGGGGGCCAGCGGCAATATTGGAAAAGAGAGCTCCACTATCGATTGTCGTAGGAGCTGTAACGGTTGCTGTCCTAATTGATGTGCCAGGAACTGTACTAGGAGCTGCGAAAAGTTACGCAATGGACATTGCATTCGGAACTGTCGTGAGAAGTGTGCTACTGGCTGCGTGGATAACAGCATTAGGAGCTGCAGCGGAATACGCATTGACGGCTGAATTGAAATCTATACTACTCGTTGCAGTTGGAAGCTCAGTATGGGCGTTCGTAGGATCCGCACTGCCAGGTGTACTGCAGGCGGTTGCGTAGAATGCAGTAGGAGCTGAATTCTAATTTGTAGTAGGATATGCACACAGTAAGATGTGCACAATGAACTGTAGTAGCACCAAGAGTTGCAGTCAGAGCTGTACGAGTGAACGTGCCAAGGAATTTGGGTGGGTGCTGTAATACGAGCTGTAGAAAGAGCTGGTGTGGGGATTGTAGTCGGAGCTGTAGTGTGAGCTGTACAAGGTGCAGCTGTTACTGGCTGTAGTAGGAGCTGTACGATGGCCCTTTGTAAGAGCTGTAGTAGGGCAGCCGTGAAAGCTGTAGTGGAAGCTGCACTACTAGTTGCAATACAGCCTGTAGCGAGAGCCGTTCTCCTGGCTGCGCCATGAAGCTGAAGAGCGAGCTAGCGTTGTGGTAGGCGCTCTACTGAGAGCTGTACGACTAGATGCACTAGAAACTGCATGTGGAGCTGCAGTGGGAGATTCGTTGAGATCTGTACCGAGGTGTGGCCTACTGTTTGTAGGGCCATGCTTAGCAGGTGGTTTAGCAAGATCAGTACTGGAAGCTGTATGACGGGCTGCTGTGAAAATCGCAAGAAGAACTGAACTGTGATATGTCGTAGATTGTGTAACATAAGCTTCGGACGAGGCGCAGCAGGAATTGATTTGAAACTTGCATTAGTGCCAATAGAAGAACTCGACCAGGAGCTGTCGTAAGAGCTGCAGTAGGAGCTGTAGGGAGACCTGAAGGAGATGTCGCAGGAGTGACGTAGGACCTGTAGCTCCTGTGGTCTCCTTGCTGCAGACGGAGATGCAAGGCGACTTGTCGCGAGCTGCACACAGCCGCAGCAGGAACTGTAATACGATCTGCGGTATGAGCTAGAATGAGACCTGACGGAGGTGTAATACTGGCTGTGTCATGAACTGTAAGAGTGGCTCTTACATGAGCTGAACGAAAAGCTGTACGACCATATGTAGTGGATTTCGAAGTAGGAGCTGTCCCAAATACTGATGTAAGGCTTGCAATGGGATTCGGGGGGAGCTGTACGAATAGCTGTAGTCGGAATCATCCATGACTTTTTTAAGGACCGCACAAGAAAGGTTGAAGTAAGTGCTGCAACGACGACCGTACGACTGGCTCTGGCCTGACCTGCAGCGAGAGCTGGGCGGGTGGCTGTAGAGGGGAACTGCAGTAGCATCAATATTGATATGTGATGTAGACCTGTAATAGAACATGCACCAGGGCTCGTAGTAGAAACTGTAGAAGGTGCTGTTGCAGGACATGTAAGAACTGCGGTTGTGGGACCCGCACTGATGGATGCTCTCGGGATTATCGTATGGGTTCGAATGAAACCTGCACTTTTCGCTGTAGTAGAAGATGGGGTCGGAGCTGCAGGAAGAGGTTTATCATGACCTCATATAGGAAATGCAATGAGAGCTGCGCGAGCGGCTAGGGTAGGAATTGAAATTGGAGTCGAAGCCAGGGAAGTAATAGAGCTGCAACAGACGTTACAGCAGGAGCTGCATCAATAGCTGGGGTGGGAGATGTAGCGAAGGCTGTGAGAGCCGTACAACTAGCTGTGGCGTGGATTGTGGTAAGAGAGAGTTGTACGGTGAGCTGCACTGAAAGCTGCACTGAACTGTAGAAGGACCTGTTGTAGGAGTTGTTGTAAGAGTTGTGTTGATGGTTGCAGTAAGAACTGCAGTGGGGGTTGCAGTGGGAGATGCAGGAGGGCTGCAATAGACGCTGCAGCTACGACTGCATCGATAGCTTGAGGTAGGAGCCGCATTGTGAGCTGCAGTGAAAACTGTACTGCTGGCTGCACTTTGGACTGTACTGAAAGCTGCCAGATTTGGCCCTCGCAAGAGAAGGCTTGCTCGAGAGGCCGGTCGTGGCGTAATGGTCGCTCATGGGTCGCGCTCACGGGTCGCTGCCAGTCGTGTGTTCTACCTTGTTAAGGTGTGCGACCCGCGTTAAGAGTGAGAGAGAATGCGATGCGCATCGAGAAAAGGAGCACCACAAACAAACCGCGACCAGCATTGTCAATGACGAAGGAAGCCCCGCCTCAACTTTAGCAGGGGGGTGGGATAAGTCGGCGCCCAGATATCGATATGCACACACATATACATCCGATATACCTGTGTACAAAGGCATATGTATGCATATACCGTGGGCCCGAGACAAGCGTTTGGCCTGAGATACCCTCACACACTAACCATGATGGCTCCAGGGCGCCTCCTAGATGGCCAAGGTCGCCTCCAAGACGGTCCCAAGAAGCTTCCAAGACGTCCAAGATGGCCCCGAGAGAGCCCAAAATGGCCCCAAGATGTCCCCAAGACGACCCAAGATAGACCCAAGACGGCCCAAGATGGCCTCAGGACGGCCCAAGAGGCCCCTGACACATTCCTAGTTGAAGCCAAACATCATTGATGTCCCGTGTGCTTCTCAATGGCTTCAGTTTTCTCGGCATCTCGGGCTTCCGATAGCCTCAGACGGTCCAAACCAAGCCGGCGGGGGCGGGGGGGGGAGGTCGACCCCCCCCCCCCCTGCGCCGGGGGTGGGAGGGGGGGGGGGTTCGGGGAGGTGGCGAGAGGGGGGAGGGGAGTCCCCCTGGTTCTGTTCGACGGCGCCGAACGTGCGGGGGGGAGGGAGGAAGGGGGGGAGGGGAGGTGGGGAAAGCTGGGTGCGCTCGCGTCATATCTGACGTCCTTCCCCTCGCTCCCATCCCCTACCATGGCGTAGATATCCTCTCTATTCTCACAGTCGGATGTCGAGCAGGGCAATGATGCCCAGAGGGTGCGCGATGCATCGTAGAGCACGGCATAGCAGGGCGTAGAAGAGCACGGCAGAGCGTAGTGTGTCATAGCATGGCGTGGCGTTGCGTAGTGAAGAATTGCATCACAAAGCAACGCGAAGAATGGCATCGCACAGCGGCACAGAACAGAACATGGCATAGCATGGAATTGAAGATCAAGACGTAGCATGGCATTGCATGGCGTGGCAATGCGTAGTCAAGCTCTGCATGTCCTAGCATTGCGGCTGAAGGCATGGCATCGCACAGCGGAACACCAAATAGCATTGCATTGCATACCGTGGCATGGCACTGGAAATAAGGACGCCAGCGCTGCAGTGGACCCACGTTTCGGAACGAGCGGAAACGCGGAAATGAGGCCAGCGCTGCAGCGGGAGCACGATTCGGAACGAGCGAAAGCGCGGAAATGAGGCCAGCGCTGCAGCGGGAGCACGATTCGGAACGAACGGAAGCCCGAAAATGATGCTAGCGTTTCAGCGGGAGCAACATTTTGAACACAACATCCAAGCGAAAACCCAGTTCCCGGGAATCCTGCAAGCAGAAAACAATGCGCGGAGGGGGGCCGAACATCTTCTTGACGTCAGGGGAGAGATGAGAACAGCATTCATATTGTGTAGTTGTAAAAGGGGGAGGGAGCCCCCCTGGTTCTGTTCGACGGCGCCGATTGCGCAGGGGTGGGGGGGGGGCCCAGAACAATCGCGCCGCCGAATGCTCCCAAGGCAAGCGCCCGTGAAACGCGGTCCCTCGACTGTCCAAACGAAGCCGACCCCTGCCCAAGAGGGCACCAAAACGCACCAATAGGGCCGCAAGACGGCCCCCAGAGGCCCCAAGAGGGCCCCAAGGCGGCCCCCGATCTCCAGGACGGCCCTCAAAGCGTCCCGAGGCTGCCCCGTGAGGCATCCCGAGGCCCCGGATGCCCCAGGAGGCCCCAGGAGGCCCCCACGGGAAGCAGCCACGGGCCCCCACGAGGCTTTCAAGGAAGCCCCCAGGAGGCCCCAAGAGGCCCCCAAGAGGCCCCCAAGAGGCCGAGTCCTCATCGCCCCTCTCTTTCTCATCTTGTTCCTACTACCCGTCCTCTCCTTCTCATAGTCCTCCTCCTCCTCCTCCTCCTCTTCCTCCTCCTTTTCCTCCTCCTCCTCCTCTTCCTCCTCCTCTTCCTCCTCCCCCTCTTCCTCCTCCTCCCTCTTCATCCTGTTCCCCCTCCTCTCCTCCTCCCTCTCTCCTCCTCCTCTCTCCTCCTCCTCCTCCTCCTCCTCCTCCTCCTCCTCCTCTCCTCCTCCTCCTCCTCCTCCGCCTCCTCCCCCATCCACCTCCTCCTCGTCATCCTCCCCCTCCTCCTCTCTTCCTCCCCCTCCTCCTCCTCCCTC